AATTTGAGATCGAGAACAGCACCTAAAGAAATCGGGGAGGGTGATAGGAAATCAGCATATCTAGGAAAAGTATAACCTTCTGTGATGGCATAGCTGGTGTGGCATATTAAATGCTTTCATTCAGTAAGGGGAAGTATGTATGCTCGTTACATGACAGTAGTATTTGTTGGTTATGACCACGACCGTTCCTTTTCATGATGTAGTTCAGCAAGTCAGTACCGTATTGGAAGCCCGATTAAGAATCTAAATCAGAGAAGGAACCCAGCTTCTATAAATGATATTAGAAGACGTGCAGTTAAAAGTGATGCTTGGTGACGATGATAAACAGTAGTACTTCCTGCATATAGAATATACGAACAGCAATATTGTGAAGTTGGAGGAGTAACAGCAATTTCTTGAGAAATATACAAAAGAACTAACAGTGATACGCAATTCTGATAACCTGTCAGTGATGAAGGATGAAAACGGGCTGGATCGACCTTGATGAAAAGCACGCCACATACATAACTTGATTAGAAGTAAAACATTTTCACATTTTTATTACGGTTAAATTACAAAGCTCTAGCCCATTGAATTCCGATCAAAGAATTTTCACCCGATTCGTATAACACCACAAACAAAATAATCAAAAAACCCATGTTCACCTCTTGGTTACGGACAGTAAGGTTTTCTATATTTCAATTGGTTAAAACTTCAAGAGATCAATGATAGGAACATGAACATATTGGGTTGTAAGAGAGACCTAGGTAGCGCAAACCGAAACTATAACGTCTATTCGATTATACTGCAGGAACCGTTTTGAAGAATGTTTCCCCAGATGGTCATTTATGAATAGTATCAATAATGTACTATAACGATTGTCAATTTGATGCAGTGGTTGATAGATGAGGAGCGTCCCTCCTCGGATTCAGTAGCATTATAAGAATGGGAGAGTTCCGGTATCTGCAGTCCTTCAGCATGTCCTCGAATGAAGTCCTCNGCGTCTCAAATAGTGTCTGCTAAGGAAGTTCTACTCACTGCATTCTAGTGGCGGAGGTGCTTCCTCACCAAAGTGAGAGGACGAAAAGCCGACATCGGGGGCTATAACCCAAGACTTCTTGGTGCAACTGCCATGGAAACGTACCGTCTCGTTCTAAAGGGAGTTGTGTTCAGGTCACAATGGACCTTTTTATTCCTAGTATCTGTATTTTCCTCTCTTGTAGATTGACAGTTACTCTTCTCTACCGGGAACTTCCTGTCCGTCGATGGTTCCAGCCCAAACAGAGACTGGGTCCACATTAGGTGCATCCGTTCAAATGAGACATTCTGCTACACAAACCCGCTCAAGCGCATTAAACAACAGAAAATTCCAAATATTTCGCGCAGCATAGACTAATGTACAATGATATACAAATTAATGTTTGCTGAAGTTGGTCTGATCTCGAACAGCTGTTCTTTCAGGAATGACTAGATCTTCAACTACGCCAGTCTATTAAAATTATTTCTTATTTTCACTTGCTTAACTTTATCGCCCATAAACATTTTACCTCTTGCGATAACTTCTGCAACAATATCCATCAGACACCACTCACCCATTACACACAGAACTTAGACAATGCATATCCACTTCTGTAACTAGATGTCGTTATAAACTGATGTATGCTTGTACCACTGTCTATCGTTTGTCCGTCATCCCTT